TCTTGGCCACCGTTATAACATTTGGCAACGCAGGGCACCGTTATAACATAGCTCATCGACCACAGACGACAATACGGCGCCGTGCGATGCAGGTCGAAGGTAGAATGCCCCTTATTGAAACCTCTGCAGTTGTCTGTAAGATACGTTGCAGCAATGGGACTACAATTACACTGGAGAAATAGGGCGCAAAATGCAGACCCGCAGAAATGAACATGAACTGGTGACTCGGAGACGAGATCCAACTAGCGGCTAGGAACCTATATTGGGGAGACTGGTCATACCTTCGATATTCAAGGAACGACCGTCGTAGACCAAGACACCTCAAAACCTACGTCATTTAGCACCTAGACATCCCGGCGGCCTACAAAGTCTTGTCCCATTACACGAATAAAGGCCAGGAAAAGTTCACACCGGAGATAAGGAGGGCAAGCGAAGACGGTCCGACGATGGGTTCACCGGAAAAGGAAGCAAGATTACCAGCATTCTCCACCATGAAGACGAAGCGCAGTACTAACTGCCGTCAACCGATGCAAAAATCCACACAAAGGAAAAGAGAGGGAACGAGGAAAAAAATCGATCAGTCCACGGCTGATATATACAGCCGCACATCCAAATTGCTGATCGATAATGTCGTTTGCGCTTTTGCGAAGTGGAGTCGGCCCAGCTCTCAGAAACGTCAGCGAAGACAAAGACTTGTTCCGGTGAAAATAAACATGTTCTCAGTAAACGCTACGTCTTTCATGGGGCAAGACGACACGTCAATGGCTGGGGAAAGAAAGGACCGCCTTTGGCAGTTTCTTCAGGGTTCCCACAGGGCTCAAGGATATTCTGAATGTTTTATGCAGGTTGAAACGCCCCTCCCCTCGTGCACATGCACGTTTAGTAACATCCGCGACACAGCTATGAACTAGAAAGCCGAAGTCCCATGGAGAAGTTTTCAGTAAAGACTTCAGAATGCCTAAACGTCGCAACTTCACTCTTTCCGAGTTAAGAAAACTATTTGACTCTAACTACAATTAGAAACCGTTAAACCACAAAAGAGCCAGGTAACCAATGAATCTGCCACGTCTTGCTTACCAATATTCGTGGAAATCGAAGCCAACATAAGTGAGGTTCGGATTATTGAGGAGAAGCAAGAGTCGAATATAGGCCTGCACCAGTTTGTACTCCTGGGTCTCCAGACCAGAGTCCACTAGATTGAGGATAATGACACGGCGAAATCGTTGCAGTGTCCGGGTCATGTGTTTTGTGAAGGCAGCGTTGTTCTCCGCTTCAGCTAGAGGTGAAAAAAAGGACGGAAGAGCGAGAGGGCATCAAAGTCACGCAAAACACCGCATACGCCGTAAAAACCAATGAAACACCGTTGTGTGATAGTGGAGTGCAACTGTCCCCTCTGGATGTACTACTGGAGGGAGGAGGGGGTCTAAACTTGCCTTGTGAGTCCACACCGGAGCCAAGGCGCATTACGACAAACAGTCAATACGTAAAATTTATGTTCTGGCTCTGACGCACAGAGTCCCGCGCAATCACATCCAGATGTGCGTCGCTGAGAGTTGATTGGTTTACACTCCCTAAAATTGCCGCCTATTTTGCTGTTGCTGTTATCTCTGACGATGAACTCCTGTACCAACTTAAAAGCTCAGAACAAAAAACATACTATTCCGATGTTCAACCAACCTGCTTAACTAATACAAGGGAACTAAGACGCGCGGCTGGCTGAAGACGGCTAATAAGCCGGAAGTTGTCATATCAGCCTCCCATCCCACGCTAATGAGCCTGTCACTGAGTAAGCTTGCAGTCGGTTTCGCGCCATTTCAAACAGGAAGCGACAGAGGGCTGAATTTCAGAGAAGTCAGAAGGAAGAGCTTAGTATCTATTCCAGAGGGTTAACAGTAACTTTCCATACTCAGCCCAAAGAATTTGACTAAAAAGAACTTGCAGCCGAAGTTATTCCTAATGGCCGCATCGAGAATGCACAGTTTATAATTTTATAAAAATAACCTTGAAGAAATTAGCGTTAACAAAATGCCTACGTTGCTATTTAAAGCGGGTGTGTATATTACACACCAAGTGTTCCATAGTTCCCGAGTGCATTTCCAGGCCCTTATCAAGATTTTGTTGTTTTTTTCCGGTGCACGCGTCGTGCGGTTGTAAAATCAGAGTCACGGTTAAAACAATCAGGTCAGTTTGTTGATCACGCATGAAAGTTAAAAGAATGCGTGGAGATAACAAAATATTTCGCTACTCTCTGTGCATACCGGAGAAGTGCAGTGCAGTAATTTGCCAAACAGGGCCGATAAAACGCTGGGAATTCATTTTATACTGACCTATGCGCAAAAGATCGTGTTTGTAAATCAACTGTAGTGAATATCCTCAAACTAACCTCTCATTCACTAAAAATTGGTGAATACCTAGAGTGCAATGGGACGTTAGATGAACCGTTCCTGGCCTTTCGAAATTCAATTGCGTGTCAAAAATTTAAAAAAATGCATCATTTTTAAGAATGAGAACTATTAGCGCAAACAGGTTCAGTGGCATTAAGATAAATGTGAAGGTATAGATGATCCAAACATTAAAGTACTCACGACGCGACTGAAAAAGTATCAAAATATTTTCAAAATTAAAAAAACTCGTTTAATTCAGACGACAGAATCAGTCAGTATAAATCTAAAAAAGCCACATCTTTTTCAAAAACCAGAATGGTATTTACGTAAATATTTCAGTTCTTGCGTTTATTCGTTTTTATCTGTTTTTTACTGCACGGGCTCCCCAAACGGCAGATCCGGAAGAAGTAATCTGGAGTAATTTGCTAATGCTCTTAAATTGCATTCTTCCTGCGAATCAGAGAATAAAGCTTTAAAAAAACACCGTTTCTTCATCAGAATGTAACACTCACCCCCGCCAGATGTTGCGGAAGAATCCACAAAAGACTTTCTAAGTGGAGATGAAGCAGCTTTTCTGCAAAAACCTTCGCAGCTGCGCTACACAGTGCTAGTGTTATCGGCGAAATGCTGGTCTGGGCTGTCAGCTGAGTTGTAAGTATGGTGCGTCGTGTAACCTTAGAAATCGGAACCTGACTTATGTATAAATTTCAGTTCTTGTTCCCATTCTTTTTGAGCTGTGCTTTTTTAAACTCGCGGGTCCTCGTAATGGCAGACATGGAAGACGTAACTGAATGCTAAGGTTTAGCGGAGTCAAAGCAATATCAGACATAACATTATTCACTCTAAAAAATGCGCTTGCGACAAAAATCCGGTGATGCTGCTGAATTAATCTTCCCTGGAATGCATAGACAAACGCTTTTAAAGAACACTTTAATCTAACTAGATGGAGCGGCTCACAAGCATGCGTTGAGTGCTCAGAAACTGTCTACAAGCAAGGCCAGCTTGATGAAATAGGATAAGTGAAAGTATATCGCGCACCAAAGTGAATCATTTGAAGTTGGACAGAGATCTTGATTACGGATTAAACCAAAGTGAGTGGGAACACGTTAAAAGTACTCTACAACTTTATAAATATCCGGTACTAAACTGACACCATTTTTTATCTTGACAGTCTGACTATGGTGAACAATGAAGTCCACGGTAACCTTAATATTTTCCTTACAACGCCGTGGCAAAAGGGCTTGCCGAAAAGTTAAAACCACTTCAGAGCCGCTTGTACCCAAGAAGCCT